ATGAAGGAGATCACGAAATGCTTGGGTGCTGTCGGTGCTACTCGCCTTCCAGGATGGGGACCGCGTGATCCTCATTGTGCCTGGTTGGAGACACTACAAGATATGGCTGCCAACCGATGTCAGTGGCGTTCTTGTTGTCAGTTTCTGTCCAGATTGCCTGAGTGAATGTCTGGAGGTGTAGGCACCTCGGAATGATTGTGTTAAGCTAGCACTAAGTCCCTTACCAGCCCACCTTCACTCTTTTCCTTACAATAAGGCTTTCAAATAAGTCATGGCTGTACGGCAGTGAAGCATTGGTGTTGAACACTGATGTTATGCTGTCGATGATGATGATGGTGATGATGTGAGGTTGCAATAAGACAGATTAGGTTCATCGTAACAACAGCTTCAGTATGCTTTAACCTACAGACGACGCAGTACCCACTTGTTATTATCGACCAGTTAAAACAAACTAGGGAGTAATGAACCACTAGAGCCTAATACTTAGCTTCTATGAACTCTATTTGGCTAATTTTGCTCACCGTAAATAGTGTTATGTGGCGATTCACAAAAGTTTGCTTTCATACTTGGACTTGGGCACACTGCTTAGAATAACGATTCAGTTGGCCACCAGCCATCTCGCATCCACATTGCCGGAATTCAACCTAGTTGTGAATTGTGATTACGGAACCGCCTTCAGTCTCAGAATTCTCCAAGTGTGTATCTTGACCTAAGCTTAATCATGCGTATTGTCCTCACGACCTTTCTTTTGTCCTGTTCGAGATAAGTGATGGATTCCTTAGTCAGTTTGTGTACAGCCTACTTGCCTCTGTCCGGGGAAAATGGACCGCCACAAGAAATTGGGGTGGGCCGATAATAATATGATCTCTCAAAAGGGGGTTATTTATAGTGAATGTAGCAACCACAGTTTGACTCCCATTGCAACGAGTCTTCTGGCTTTTCTGATCCTTCTTCATTATACGGTGGTACGCAAAATATTGACTGATGGTCATCAACTGGGGTCGCTTCACAAGTCTGTGTAGAGACAACCACGATGTTCATGCATCTTGACGTCAACGGTGCGTTTTATTCGACTCGTGGGTTAAGCACCCTCAAACACATTTGTCCAACACGGCATTCCCGACAAGTCTGTCAACACGGTCCGATTCCTACATTCACATACTTCTAGGTGTTCAAGTATTCAAATTGCTGCTGTCGATCTGGAGTAGGCAGACGTCGTCGCGCTCATCTTTGAAGACCGAGGCAAAGTATAACCCATGCTGAATAGACTGGCCACCATCATATCAAATTTTGGCATGCGCCTAGCACCTTCAAAGTGCAAAGTCATGCTTCATTATGTGCAGGCCCTGAACGCAATTGGTGTTGTGAAGAAGTTTACGTATTTCGATAGTAGTATTAGCCGTGGCAGACGGACGTCCGAGGTAGTCAGAGCACGAATCTCAAAGGCCGGAATCAGATTAGCTAATCTGAATCAAAAAGTCATATCAAAGGACCCCAAGGGTCACGTGAAACAGGCTACAGTAAGGACTCTGTTGTCGTATGAGGGAGACATGGAAGAGATGATACCGAGCGTCTTCCGGTGTTTGACAAGAGGTGCTGCTGGTGTTGGATGGCGTCAACGAATTAGTAACCAGGTGATTAAAACACAAGTATATGATTATGAATCAGGTGCTTCAGTCGTGCAAAACATCAAATGGCATCAACTGCTTGACTCGGTCATGTGCTACGCATGCTAAAACATTCTCTAATGAGACGGCTGTTGTCCACGGCGCGTCCTTCAGAATGATGCGAACCGCTGGGTGTACAACGTATGACTTGACAGTAAGGTGTGAAAGTGAGCGATGAAGGGTCAATGTGTTTTTCACTAGCATCAACCTGCTCAGCAACATGAGTTTTCAATGCTGATGTATCGCTGCCGTACTAGGTGTTGTCGATGTGCCCCCTTCCAATATGTGGTCCACATACCCTCCTTACGCTTTACTGAACATAGTGCAAGCAGTAGTGGCTAATCGAAGTCTACGATGTTTGTGTTGCAGTTTCTTTCCAGAGTGTCCGAGTGAGCATTTTGTTGTATAGGCATCTCAGAATGCTTGCAGTTGGTCAGCACCAGGTTCCACCACTCACTTTTTCCATTCCACTCCAGGTCTTTTAATATAACTAGGTAAACATTATGGTTGTATGGCAGCGGTGTATTAGTGCCAACACTGATGTTTCTGTTCCTGATGATGACGGTGATGACGAAAGTCCTTCCTGTTTTACGCTTTAACACTTGAAGTCTCGAGAATCCCTGACTTCAAAACAAGTTTCAAGAAACCGTTTATCTTTATTTGAAATATGCATGCGACATTTGTCTACTAGAGGACTTCTCAAAGTTATACCCCTTTCGACATGCACTTGACATAATCAAAGTGCAAAATCAATGGTCAAAATCACATGATGACAAGATGGTACGTCAATGGATGGGAAATTTTTGATGTCCAATGACTTTACCTCAGTTTATGACCAGTTTTGTTGGTTTCTCCCGAAAAATTTTGTGATAGTCTACTTAGGTAAGCAGCACCCAGCCTAATTCAACTTTAACCGCATTCACTCGAAAGCAAATATTTTGATCCAGTCAAACACAGTATCCATGGGGACCGGTAATTTTCTAACAGCTCTTTTGGCAGATAACAATCGCTTGTGACACCCCGTAACAGTCCTATTCTTCTTCATGCTTTTCTTATTTTGCCTGTGACGAGAAATAATAAATAAATAATAGTAACAAATAGTAATAAATAATAGATAAAATAAAAAAATAATTTATCAGTTCGTGATAGTGAAAGGCAGGAATAGAGCCTCACACTTGTAGCTTGCAACCCCAATATGCGATTAATGTTCTACTCCCATGGATTTTGATTTTCCAAGCCAAAATGTGCGGTTCTGTGGACCGTAAAACACCTAATCATGTGTTAATACGCAGTCAGAAGTTTTGGATCTGCGTATGCTAACCTCAATATTTAAACTCATCATGACAGCCGACGAAACATAGGTTTTGCGCGTCTTTTTGCATCTTTCTACTTTAAATGAACAGAATGATGAGAACTAGATTGATTACTCTCTTTGCAGTATGACATAGATGAAGCGCAAGATCGACCGTGCAAGGAAGTCGACACATTCTGGTATAACAAACGGCCTGTGTGTGGGTGTAGCAGCTGTGTGTGATAGAGTCGGTGAACAGTAAACCAGTGGATAGACGGAGTAATGTATTCTGAATAATGCTCATTTCTCTATGTACTTAAAGATACACCTATTTAGGAAAAAAAGTCAACCATTTGATTACTTTCAGTATCCATCTTCCCTGGTGGATTGTAACCTCAATCAACTTCATTGGTTTTCATAACCTTGAACCCTGATGATGAATCACTAAATCGTATTCACCGCGTTTGTGTTGTAGCACTATACGACAAATACAAGGCAGAGAACTGAGTTAGGATTCCAAATAACTTCATCAGGATACGAAGAAAAATGTGTCGGTTCAAATAGCTTCAACAGCTGACCTTGCATTTCCCGGCAAGTACAGCGAGGAGGCGAACGTTAACATTAGCTTTGTTGGATTTCATCCTGCAATTTATGATTACTCGAACATCTGACTTTAGGTTCATTCAGCTGTCATATGAGGTTATAGATTTAGTTGATGTCCCGAAATGGTCCCTTGATGGTCCCATGGGCGAATTGGTGGATTAGAACTGGAAGCGTTAGAGTTCTATAATGACACAGTTTACGCCCATATTTTGTCACAGGAAGTTCGCATTTGGCAGTCATAACTGCATCCCAGATGTCAGATGATTCAACCGAACAAAAAGCGCGAACAATTGGAGTCGTCACACTTGAGGATATCATCGAAGAAATACTGCAAGAAGAGATCATTGATGAAACGGATATATTCAGTGAGTGATTCATCAACGTTCCTTTCCGTCACGGGTAATACGGGTAAAAGAACATGTAGAGCGCTAATTTCATACGCACCCAAACAGGCGATAGCGTGGGAGCCACAGAGAATCGCCCGGGTGAAACTTGAAGTGAAATGAACGTTTGTTGGCTCACACAGGACAAGTTTGAAGCAAGCAAACGAGACTAGCCTCGATAAAAGACCAAATAAGAACACATGGAAGACACACGTATTTTGACTTAAACATAAGTTACATTGGAATCGGTAATAAACGAGCCTAAAAAAAGATTTTGCAGCCGTTATCTGGTAATCATACATCACTACTTCCAAAACGTATTCATGCAGACGATTCAGTAACCGAATTATTTATCAAAGATGGATTTATGTTGTACTGTGTCCTGTGCGTTGATACGCACATTAGTTTGCAGATGTGGATGTTCACGGATGGGGATCCACAACCAGAATGGGCTCACAAGGTGCGTATTTCAGCAGATACTCCCTGTCTGATGGTAACCAACACCTGCTTGTATCAGTGGATATTACTGAGAGAAACCGTTTTTCAGTAGTGCCGCTCTTGATAGTATGGTTAACTCATGCTTACACAAAAACAACCAGGAATCCAACTGTTGGGCATGGTGCATTCTGAGGAAACCGGTTAGGCATACTGTGTTACCCTCAGTATCAATCAAGGCCGTTCAGTTCTTAGAGACATTATTTCCCCTGGGGGGAATGTCGTTGTGCCAGCAGTTACGAATATATTTTCAGCGTTTCACCTTTTTCTCTTTGCTGGTGACCATATCACGAAATCGTTTTTTCTAATTATCCACACTATCTTACGCTCAATGGATAAGAATGTCAGCTTGTAGCCGTTTATGCTTTTCTCCAGCTTTGATGGTCACACTGGCCAAAATGAAGCGCCAGAGAGCTACTAAACATTTTCAAATTCGACATGTTCCTTGTGGAAATACGTACAACATACAACGATGATCACGGCTATGCCCGAATTCCTGCTCACCATAAAGCATAACATTAGAAAGGCTACTGTTTGAAGTGACTAAACAGAAACTAGGTTGTCTATTTCTGTGAAACCCGTGTATATCCTTCCATATCATGGCAAGATAAAAAGCAGTTTTCCTAAGCTTAGGCGAAAAGACTTGGACTGTAAAGGGAAAGTAGCAAGTAAACGAGGTTCTGAGAGGAAATTTCAAGCGAGGAATCCGGGGAAAAAATACACGCATAAATCCAGCAAGTTAGATATTATCGATGACACAGATGTACCTCGGCGTGGCTACTTAATGGTAGTGAAGTGAGATAAGGTGGACAGTTTTGAAACGTGATTCATTTCATGCGTCAACCAACCTGAACATATTCATTTACAAGTTCACTGTGGTGAGCAATGTGGCTATAGGGAGATGAGTTTATACTCTCCTTTCCAATGATCATCAGGTAACCGGGTTGCCCCTAAATCTTCCGGAAATTTTTATTAGGCCAGTGTCAAGAAATACGCCTTTACTGTACGTTAATGAATCCTGGAGGGACTAGCTGAAAATAGAACTAAATAGTATACAAATGTGGTGGCAAAACCGGACATATCGGGGATGATAAGGTGAATAATAAAGCTTGGGGAGATGAACTGCTGGTAAAATCGTCAAGAAGGTGGATGACGAAAGGTAGGCACAAATGTGGTTCCACTGTGTATCGTGGTGTGTAAAAAAACATCAGACACATGAAAGCGTGTGAACACAGTAAGTATCACCTGGTTGAAGTGCGCACTAGTCTACATCAGGAACGAAAGCATGGGAATGCGGAATCGTGTGATCTTTTCGAGAAATCATTCACACTTGTTCATTACAATATGGAGGTAGGTCAATATCAGTTGCCAGAAGCTAGAGATGATATGTGTTATTAGCTGCGCGAAAACTGGAAGAGAAGATAAGACTGACTTTCAGAATGTTTTCTGAAAATTCTGTATTGGGCATCACGAATGATCCTGCCCGGGTTTGGAAAATTCGGCAATATCTCAGCCAAGCTAGACACCAAAAAGATGATATGGCCGACTGATTTCTGTATTCGGTTCCATACACTTGCACCCTACGCAAGGGAAGATTAACCGCTTTCTTATTTATCGACTCCAACAATCAGTACGAGCATTATTCCAGTGCGTGTCACCTATGGTACCCTGACTTTTTTTTACCGGAAAGTCTTTGTTTATTACCCGAGTGTTTCTATTATTCGCTAGGTGGCTCTATCAGATGAGCCAAACTGGGAACATTTGGATTTGCTTCAGAACGGACCTAATTCTAGTCTAAACTATCCTGGGGATAAATATTCCTCTGGGAATAAATATTCCTCTAAGGGTATGAACCAGAGTTAAACCGTACACGAAGAATGACCGTGTGAGGCTGTGCAGCATGTTGTCCACGTACACGTCTTGGACCGTGATACCAGATAACTTAGACCTCTATGAGGTACAACTTTTAAGCCCAATGTATGCGAGGGTTGAAGCAACAACTCGAAGCAGTTACAAGGTTTGGGTTTCAAGGACACCCTAATTATAATTCCTAAAGTGAGCAGAGAACTTAGGAGAACATATCCTCCTTCTTATCAAATCGACACTGATCGAAAGCAACAATGAAAACGTGAGAGCCAACATACAGCTGGGGATCGGTCGACTCATGCATTCATCCTTGTAAATAGTCCCATTTTTGTTTTCCAAGCTGATAATGTGAAGCGTGAGAAACGAAGACAATCGAACGTCCACAGTAACCTTTACCATGTAATCAACAGGAAATGCAGCAGCAGAATACCACCGCAGTTGAGGCTTGCAGCGCTACGGCACGTCACCACGAGTAAGCTATTATTCTAAAATGATACAGACTAGTTGATTTTTCACACCTTTACGTATTTTTTCTCGAATCCCCACTTGGAGAAGGTAGCTTCCCGAATGTTTGACCAGAGGAATGACATGGCAGGCTGAGGCAACACTACAGTCCCCATCATACTCCGAAGCTGATTAAGCTACGCGGATCTTAGACTCAAAGTAAACCTGATCGTTCTGACAGGGTAGGCTATGAAGGACGATAATCCAACCAAAAGGTGTAAAAAGCGTGCTTTCTGAGAACTATCTGTGACAAGTGAACTGTAAATCAGTCGGCTTTAAAGCATATATTATGGGTGCATTGGTCCCAGCTGTTGCGATCACCTGAAAGTAAGAGAGTGTGGGAGATACAGCCAGGTCTTGGAGGCGATAGTATGTTCAGTTAGTTCCGGAACTGGGTAGCTAAACAATGAAGGCGGTAACTTTGATGCACAAGCGCCATCATTTCCATCAGTGCTATTAACCATAGGTGAGTTGAGTCCCATGGTTCCCATTCAACCAGGCGGTAGTTGTCGACTCGACCAAGTTTACTGGTTAGAATTTTCACGCTTCGTTGTTAAATCTTACATTGTGCATCTCTCGTCCGCTTCCACTCAGTATAGGGCTGGGCGAAAGAGCCCTGTGAGTCAGACAGTCCTTTTTATACTGAGCACATACCCTAACCAGCGTGACCAATGGAGCGCAAGTAATTCATCAATCACAGAAGAGTTCCTTCTTCCTTAAACCATCTGGCGTACCTCCGCATTGCAAATCCAGTATCTCAATCAGACCAGACCAATGTTTCGGAGACACTGCTGGTCAAATGCTGATAACTTTCGTACTACTTCTGCTACTAAAGGCCACGTCACTCATCTGTGAAGTAGTGTGGATCGCACTGGTGCAGTGTAAACTCTGAAGTTGGCAGATAAACTGACAGTACGTCGGTGACATAGGCATCGGAGGTCGGCAACAGCTGCCCTGGCCTTTTTGACTCGAAATTTGAAATCATCTTTCGTTTAACTGCCCGGGTAAACAAAGTTATTTATCATGTCAACTGGTTCTTCTACAAGCATGATGTTTGGGTCTAATGTGAAGCGCATACCCAACCGTGCGGCGGAGTTATTTAGGTTATTTGAAACTGTTTGAACCAATGAGAGCAATATCGTCTACACGTTCAATGTCTGTGATCAAACGTCCCGGGGGAATTTCGACCATCCAAGTTTTCGGAGGAAGGCAGAGAAATTTCAAGCAGCACATCAATAACAAAGTTGAAGAGGAAAAACGAGTTTAGCCTTGTTCTACACCACTGGACATGGTGAACTTAGGCAAAAGCTTGCCGCATACTCGTTCGTGCCCACAAGAGTTCGTATAGTGTCCTCATAAGAAAAATAAATTTGGAAAGGACATATTTGATCGCCAGACACCGCCAAAGTTCCTGACGATCTGCAGAGTCAAAAGCAGCTTTCAGATCAAGAAAATCGATTAAATTTTGAAGTTTGAAAGTGTCTCTCTGTGAGAACTTGTTTCAGGGTAAAGATACGGTCGATGCATCCTCAAACAGGGTGAAACCCATTCTGACTTTCATGAATCCGTCACTTCTGATAATCGATCAACCTGCGCAAAGTATTGCCAGAGGGTGCCCTAGATGCGACGGATAACAGGTTGATGTCAAGATGGTCTCCGCATGACGTTCTTGCACCACTTTTGAGGGCTGGGATGACGGATAAGCGCCTCTCTGGATCTCAAATCAACAGAATATATATACAACTGTTGGAGCATAGCATAAAACCGCGAAACAATGCACCACTTAGACTGTGACGGCGAAGCGTGTATGTTGGATACGTTCGATAAGTTCAGTTCAATTTTTCAACCACAAACCGCGTAGGATTATGGGTTTCCACGAAAAAAGGTAGTGAAAAACGGTAGATGCATTCCCAAAAAGCCTACTTCTGATTGAGATTAACAACTTTGCGTTATAATCTGTCTATCGCATCTAGTACTGATATGAGTTAACACTAATCAAAACAAACCACCTGTGGTCCCCTATTGCGAATTTCCTTAATCCACTCCTCTAACGTTACAGATACCAAGTCCTTCAGCTCACAGTACGTACATATATACATACTACAAAGCCTGTTGAACGGACCTGTGCTACGAGAGTATGATTTCGAGTGAGTAGAATGCAATCTATCCTGTATATTTTTCTTAAACATTTATCGAAAAAGATTAATGGGAGTCGTAAAGTTACAGTACTTGTCTCTAAGTTTCACGTAGTGTGCGCAAGAGGCCTCAGCCCTCCTGAGGCTTTTGAGCAATGTATCGGCATGTAAATAGCTGAGCGACCATTCGTCCTATATCGTTCTTTATGGAACAGACAAGTATCTAAATACCTACTACCTGGGTGCCTTAAACATCGAAAGTTTTGTGAACTGCTTGAGGTACGAAATCAATGTAAAGACGACTGCGCAGCTTTGGAACGACTGTTGTAAGGAATGCAGATATTTTGGAGCAAAATGCTGCAAATCACAAAAAATCTCATTCAGACTTCTCTGCAGAAGTAACCCGAGTTCACTCAACCATGTAGGATCCAGCGAACGACAGATGAATTTTTATGACATTAGGATTACTGAAGGTTGTTTTGCAAGTTTTTAGGTTCAAATTAGTCTACAATCAAAGATAGCTATTTCGCCCCCCTCCCTCCCGGACGTTGCGCAACTTCCTGCAATTTGTATTCAAGACTGAGAAAGGGAACAGGCAGGTCAAACTCCATAAAAATGCGACATGTGCGTCCAGTGAGATAAGAGCATCAGACATTAGTGTGAGACAAAGTAGGTTCAAGATCCTACGGAGTCAATTGGCAACCTAAAGCGAGTTTGGGTTATAATGATGGAATATCGCAATTCTCGGTTTGATTCAATTTATCACCATAGGTTCCAACTGTTACAGTTTCGATCACCGGAAAACGGGGAAGTGTGGGACATACAGCCAAGACTTGGAGGCGATAAAATGTTAAGTTTGTTCGGAAATCGGGTAGCTAAGCATTGAAGGCGATAGCTTCGATGCATTAGCGCCACTGACTGCGCGATCGGGCCATTTCTGCCAGTGCCATTAGCCATTGGCGAGTTGAGTCCCGGAGTCCCCATCTAGAGAGGCGCCAGCTATCAACCTGACTAAGTTTACTGGTTAGTATTTTCGTACTTCGTTTGCAGGTCGTACACTGCCCACCGCTCAGTCGCTTCCACTCGGCACAGGGCTGGGCGAAAAAAGCTCTGCGAGGCAGACGGTCTTCTGGCGTGCATTGAAACTCTACGTGGGAAAGGTTTGCCTGAATTATGAAATGACCGTAATCTAGGTCTTGATTACTGTGGTTGGCAAACTCAGAAAATGAGCCGTAAACTGTCGGACCTGTGAAATTATTAAACCGATGATACCTCTTTTTGTCTATGGTTTCAGGCCACAAAATACCAAACAGAACAAACTCTACGTTGCCGGTGAAGCTGCAGTTTGTGCAACTCTCGTTTTACAAGGACACCTTTTCGTGGAATTTAGCAAAGAAGGACTACAGTTCGAAACCGGAGCGTTCACGTTTTTCGGAGAGACAATCTTCAACGGTACGTGAGAAGGAATATGCCTGTAACGATATCAACAAATTATAGGGCGTTGGTAGTTTTCACTGACAGGTAGGTATTCATTGTGTCGAGCATTTTGATCACCGGGAACTGATGAGACTGACTGTACAGAATAGCCTTCACCGTTCCAGCTGTTGTTCTCTGCACACATGGATTCATTGTACCATAGGCTTTCATCGTAAAACTCCTTATTCGTCGTAAACTGTTGCAATGACGTTACACTTGACGGACGTCACCAGTAAATCGATGAACTTAAGCGGATGACTGTATGAAACGACATATAGTGTACACAGACGGAGGTCTTTGAGATATAAATGAAATAGTTCATGCCACAAAAACAAAGGAGCTTCTCTGTTTTTCACCATGGCCTCGCCCTCAGGTGGTGACAGATTTCGTCGGGAATCAACCCGAATTCTCATGAAAACATAATTTAGTGGGGAATAGAAGAAACAAAATTAAGGAGCTACGCCATGGTACTCTTAATCTAAAGAAATTTCGATTATATTTACCGGTCATCTAGCCTCTACAGTGCTCACCTCTACGGGAAGAGTAATGGATTACGGCCACGAGAGTATGGTGGTTCAAACTGCACATAGTACCATAAAAACTACTTACGTTGTGCATTGCTGTGTTGCCACTGTCCGTTAGGTGATAAAAGGGTTCAGTTCAGTTCAGTCCAATTTTCCAGTTCAAAAACCTTGCATCGACGCGCCCTGTTTCCGGCTGCCATAGCTTCCTTCGTCGAGGACAAGCAGAAAAAGGGCATGAGAGCCGCGCGCTGGTGGGGAAGGCCCAGTCAGTGCATTGACGACAGATGGATCTGTTTACACAGTGTGACAAAGAGTGAGAGCTATGCAGTGGGGGCGATAGCTTCGATGTGCGACCACCTTTGGTTGCATGGCACAGCTGTATCTGACAGGGTCACTAACCCCCATCCCAAACCGGGGAGATGGCTTTTACTAGCGCGATGGAGTTGACTGTTAGGGACTTTCATGCTTTGTTGCCGAATCATGGACTCAGTAGCCTCCATCCGATAGCAGAATGAGGAAAGCTTTCTCGGGCAGATGATCTGCTATACGAAGTACATGGCCTAATCAGCGTAACCTGTGGGGTGTAACTGGTTGATCTGTTGAGGGAAAGTGGACTTTCTCGAAGTTCATCTGGCGAACCTCAACCATCATCAACCATATTCCACGATCGGCACCCACACATGACGTCAGATAATTCGCCGGGCTGAATTATTTTCCGGGAGTGTTTCTGTTCTGTCTTACATCCTGCGCTTGAGCGACGCCAAAGATGCATAAAGATGAGGTGATCTCGTTTCAGTAAGAATTCACATCCGACGATGAAACAGTTGGAAGTATCCAGAAGACGATTCTGATAAACTTGCTTAGCTTCATGTCCTCCGGTTCAATACAATTATCTTCCATTTGACTAGGTGCAATTTGAATTAAATCAATTCAGATGCAACCAGCTTACCTCGCTTACCTACAGACAGTTCGCATTACTTAATAGTTTTTCTATGAACGTCATTGTCTCATCCTTTTCCATCTCAGAATACGGTTGCTTCCTTCCTACCACCAGACCATGACAATCACACTTTCTATTTTCTCCTGCGTCCAGAAGCCCGTTGTGTATCGTGACTAAAAATAAGCCTATGAAAACTTTGGAAGGAGAACCATTAGTCTTCAGATGCAAATGCGCCTTTCTATTGAATGCAAGATCTGAATGGAAGTTCTGTGACATTACGCGCTCTATCATGAGACTGTTCTCCTGATAAGTTCACGCTCTGGAATCCTGAAGATTAGATGTTCCTTTAGGGAGACGGGAAACTTCTCAACGAGCACTGGGTTACTGCATACCTAATACGCAGATATACTGTTTCGTCTACCCTGTGGTCCATGGCGAGTAAGAAGAGTCTTCATTACGTCAGAAAGAAGGCTGCCATCTGTCCTCTGTTCTACCCTGTGGTCCATGGCGAGTAAGAAGGCTGCCATCTGTCCTCTGACAGGCAGTCATAGTAAGATTGCACAAAATCCCTCGTCTTCTGCAAGGAGCCAGTCTCAATGATGAAATGAAGAAGCACTTTATGCAATTTCAGATGTTCTTTACAGAAGCATGTTTTTCGTAGTTTTTAGCCCGTTGTTTCGGTTTTCCGAGATTGCTCATGCGCGGAAAACTTGGGTTCTTAATCCTCCCCAATTGCAACCTCATTAGGAACATAAAAGAATAGAAAGTACCTAGTACCCAATCAACCAGAAGATGTTTTGGACCGACTGAGTACTCATCGTTTCGGAGGTTTAGTAAACAATCGGTGGACCTATTTCTGGGCAAGGTTTCGCTTTTGACACAAAAGCTTCGTCAGGCCAAGGGAAGGACAAAGAACCTTGAACACCCTAAAACACTTAGCATGGTAATCACAAAGGTAGACCAGGGTAAAACCACGGTCATCATGTGTAATAGTTATCACCTGCAGAAAGTTAGAAAACTCCTAGCCTTAGCGAAAAATTAGCAGCTGAACGTTCACACCAATAAGAGCAAGCTTGAATTAGGAAGGTATTTAAGATCAGTGTTACATCATCTGGGGGCAGGGCAAGTGGTATCGGTTGCAATCTAACCACCGCACTACAGGCTCTGCCATTTAGCGACAGACTAATATCGCGTCAAACCAAAAGGTGTACAAGCTGAGGAAAAGCCGACATGCTTTAGAGACTGTAGCGTTCATGCCGTCCGCAATGCTGCCATCTAATGTGGTATAACTACCCAGATAGGTAAATCAGTTCATTATGTCTACTAGTTCTGGTGCCATGACCAGCTTTGGCAGCGGACTCTCAATGTTTTGTAATAGCGTTTTTCACTTTGAAGCCGCAACGCCCGTACCAAAAGGTATAGCTTTTAGGTGCTCTGGTGACTCCTAATAAGACTGAAACAGCTGTACAGACTTTTCAACATAGGTTAGCTTCCCTTACAGGACGAAATGTCAACTAAAATGACCAGACCTACGCACAATACCATCAACACTATTTAGTGCATTTTTGTATCTGGATAAAACCCGAAACAAGTACAGCAACGCCGTCCGCATCGGATCACCATCAACATTGACGGTAATAAACCAGTAATACATGCTGGCGTTTAACTGCCACATATCGCAGGCATACTCCAATTCCTTAAGGTCTTCCGCCTTTGAAGAAGACATAACGACAATCAGCTAAGTCGAACGCTGCTTTTAGGTCTGAGATGACAAAAGGCGTTGACCATCTACACGTGTGAGGGTTTTCGTCCATGACTTGGACGTAACGACTGTCGCTCACGAGGATAGCTTAGAAGCGATTGTGACTAAATTGATACCACAATGATCCTCACTTTCGGATGTATGCTCTCTAAACAGGGATGACACCAGATTTCTGCTATTCCCCTGGGACTTCCTTCGTCTTACAAACGCTGTGCATGAGGTTTGCCACACTGTGAACGGGTTCTTCTCACCTACGAAACAAGACAGACGGAGACAGTTTTTGTTTCATTTCACCCTCTATATGGACCAAGCAATTCACGTCACATTGTGAAGCTCATGGTGAATTGAACGTTATGTTGGGAACTTGAGACCACTGAGTTGTTCTTCGAGGCACACTACCCACCGAAACAAGCGGCGCGTTTTGAAAGGAGCTTTTGAGTTATCTCTTCGTAAAGATCTCACTGACCGATGGTCTCTTGGCCTACGTTGCGTATAAGTTGGCTTGACCGTCTTTTCCAGTTCTTTGGCTTTTCTTCTCCGGATCAGTCTTGAGGCTGTATGGTTCCCAACCCGACTGATTTCTTTCGTGTCCGCAAACTGTCCGACAGCTACTGTGATCGACTTCTTTAACTGCCATATCATAGCGGTGAATAGTCTTATCAGCTGTTAGAAAACAGGCTGCAACAGGAACACAAACCAGGGTATGACCTCATTCTGCGTTCCAAAAGGAGCGACAGCCCTGAACATAAGATCGCCATCCATAGCTAGTTGTAGTTTATCTTAGTGCCCGATTGGCTATGGCTAAACAGATACCAGAGAAAGCGATACTCACGCTTGTGCTTGCGATGAATAGGTAGTGACCAGCACAGCTTTTGGAAGCGACCTCTTTTGTCGATTCTGTGAATATCCACACCAAATCTCACCGGGACGGCTCTCATGCTTGTCTGTTCTTCGCAAACCGTCAACCAAAATACTGATAGCCGAACCATGTTACTCGTGAAAGTCTCGAAAACTCATCATAGAAAAGCGTCTTCTACGGCGGCATTGCTGCAGTTTGCCGGGCGCATGCAAGGATAAGAAACACATTCTGGGTTTGGGGTCGTTAGAAGAGGATCCTGACGAGCCCAGTAAGTCTGAATGCACACAGTCGGCTGTTCATAGGAAACAAGTTATCTCAACCTCTTTAGCTCTCGCAGTCGACGCGATTACCATACAAGTGAAACGATGGCAAGGACTATCTGATACCCAGAGAATAAACCGCAAACTGGGCTGCCCTGCACAGATACATTACCGTAATGTGGCCTCGTATGTACATTCCGGATACATAGCACAAGCTAATTTTTGGAGAGAGCGTCAATAACAGAGATTTCTTGGCCTGTTTCATGTTAGGTATGCATGTTTATGTTTTATTTTCCTGGAGTGAGGGTTAGGAAGTGATGCTGAGTATATAAGAGCCACATACGGAGGGGATTGATTGGAGATTTGTCCTAAAAAGGGTTGGGGCTGATAAATTAATAGGGCTAGCCGCTGCTCCCAAGCTGTGTGGATAGGTGTTACTTCCTAGTTGACCAGGCCGAATGGGGCTTGATTGAGGTATCCAACATTGAACCTTTGAATCAAAAGTCTGACTCGCAAGGAGAAAATGACTGGAGACGTGGGAGAATTGCCTAGCTGGATGACTCATGGAGTAAGACATAGGTGTTGGATTCCTAACGTGTCTGCTCCCAGCAGGCGCAGCAAAACCAGACTGGGTTTAAAAGCATTTCAACCGTATTAAACAATGCGCCAGCGGTCATGATCAACTGTTCAGCGATTGAACCGACCTTCTATAACCCGTGTTTCCACAGTGGAACGCAGCATCGTTGCATCCATAAACATGGACATGCTGGAAAAGACACCTTGCTGCCTTTACATTCCCACCACGACTTTACCCACCAGAAATCTTCGTATTAAGATAACTCATAGTATGGGAACTTGCTAATCTTTGGCTGGTTGCTCATCTTTGGTATTTGTGGTATGGGTTGAACCTTGAGGAGTGAAGTTGCAGCCAATACAGCTCTTGGGGTCATTGCAACACTCAAGCCGTGCCACCATATCAATACAGCGCTTAGTGGTCAGGATACATAAACCTATAAGCATTCAAGCAGCCAATCTGTATAACAAAAAATGGTAATAGAGGAACACATGATATTGGTTGGTCATAGCTTGCGGCGTCTCCGATGAGCAGACAAACCGGACTATACAGGCTTAGCAGACTTCATCCTGGAAATTGATATGCACCAACTGCAGTCAACTTATTCGTTGTCGTCTGACAGCTGCACACAAAGGCTAAGATTTACAAGCCCCTGTATTTGGGTTCAGTTTCGACTTAACACTCAAATAAGCGTTTGTATCAACGGGGAGAAATCTAAACAGGTGTCACACGATCGATACAAAGTAATTTAATCTGTGGACAAGCTCCTCAAACAAAATAGATGTTGCACTTCCAAAGTCCTATTCCCAGACCATCTTCCCAGAGATCGATATGAACCACAGACCCAAGACATCAGGGCTTAAGGATGAAGGTGATCTCACTGCAAAAACTGCAATCTTTGGGACCTAAGGAAATGCAGTCCGAACAACTGTACACGACTTTTTATGGTGATTGGTGACCGATTGAATGTGAGAGGATGGCAGAAGATCTCATCCTAGCGTTATGCTGCTAGCGAACGTGGTTACTTGGTCGCATCACAAAGTCACAGAATAGGATGACCGGAACTCCCTTGTAAGCCTTCGAGTAATCATTTGATTCTTCCAGTAACGCTGGCCTACGACAAACATTCACTCGCAAAACCCGAAACAGCTTCCCATAATGCAGCATACCAAACGGAATGGTTTTATCATGCTGTCAACAACAAACACTGGTCACACAAAATTCGGTACCAATGAAACATTTTATCGTGAAACCGTATAGAGGTCCCAACGATAAAGACTCATTGCGTGCATTAAGCTATGATGAAATCAAGTACTATGCTTGAATGTGTCCAAAATGCAACACAAAGGTAAGTGAACCATGCAACCTTGCACGCTTGCAAACTGGAAGTTCCAAATCTACGCAGTAAATTTGAGTGCATTTAGAAACACGGCCACATTAGCCAACGGATTTATCAACATGGTTCCCTCGATTACCCATAGAACCTCATACGAGTAAAAAACGTAGGGGCCCTGTGAAAGGTCAGATATACCGTACCGCGTTACACATTTATTCAGAGGAATTTATTTGGTGCATCCCAGTCTCGTGAAATTTCAGCTACAGGTTTTGTTTTTAGAGATCAACACGATTCTTCCCGAAATGCCAGAAGCTTGGAACCTTTCTGAACTACTAAGCAAAGTATCCAGTGTCACCCAGTTCATCCCTGATTATACTGTGACACTACAAAGCACTGTTCAGTGTCTGGAACTTACAGGTGAACATTATCTTGTGGCACGGTACCTCTCGGACTGTCTTCAAAAAGGTAAGCAAGCACGCGTATGCATTGAATAAATTAAAAAATGCACCATGTGCGAGTTGTTCTATTGGCAGGATGCGAGGGAATACATAAATTGCCGCACGAAATTTCGCGTATCGATCCGGTTAAACCCTCTCAAAAAACAATTGACGGAAAGTTGCATTCACAGGACTGTCCCAGAGAGGAAGCGAAACTATCCTACCCAAGATTTAGTTGCCTTGTGAGAGATAGACTGCTTCCCAAGAATAATGCGCGGTCACCCTGATTGAGCGGTATCTTTGCACGTGCCAGACCGTAATGACAACAATGACTTTGTATACCCAGGGTGATACTGACGATTGGCGGATATGGATGCCAATAACACCACTGAATGAATCCAGCAGCGCATTTCGGAGGGAAATCTCTATGTTACAAACGTTGGCGATTGGAATCGTACAAATTAAGACATGCACAAAGGTGACCCAACTTATGATGGTCATTATGTTTAATGAAATCTTGCGCTTCATTTACATTTTACATGGTCAGAAACCCCAAATGAAACGTAGTATCGTACCTTTCAGTTCGCTTAGCTCCGATAAACCGTAAAAATAAGGATCACACGTGACCACCTTGAAAAGTGCAATTTTCTGTAGGAAGACCTCAAGTACATTCCTGACAAAAGATACCGATGAGAAGATTGTGTTCAATTCTACAGCAAATTAACTTCGAAGGAAGACTCTGTGCGGCATAATAGCGCTCAACAGGTCCATATGTCCTGCAACGAAGCAATTTGCGTACAACTAAATCAGGGATGATTTTGAGGCTGGCAACCGTTAGAAGTTAGCACCGGAGTTTCGCTCATTGGCAAGTGTTACCTCTACCTGTGTGTATGGGGAGATTACATGGGGTGGAGAGGTATATGATCCAGAGGAACTCTGGAATCTAAAGATCTAATGAAGTAACACAAGATGCAAAATCAGTCTATAAACATCATTGTTGAAGTCACATACGGGGTACAGAACAAAAAGACAGTACTAGGCCCATGGGGGTTGACCTTCATTTGAAATCCTAAGGGATTCCCACACATGTCACGAAATTGCAGAAATTGCAAAACGCCAAAGTCCTTTAGCAAACATAAATCTAACACTGCGCTTACATACGTCATCGTTTTTAAGCACCAGTTTTGTTTTGTCAGACGAGCATGTCGCCCAGGTTAAAAAAAGTAGACCATTAGTCCGTCTCTCACTTTCTATTTTTCAGATCCTAATCCCGAAGAATTCTCCTGGATAGGCCAAAGTAACTACTTTCGCGATGCATGGGAAGCACGCCAGTCTTCATCAATGGGCAGTGAGATAAAGGAAAGAAGCAGACCCCAAGAGTTATGAAATACTGCCATTAGAGGTCATTGAGGTCAGTGGCTTATTTACTTCGCAAGTACCAAGTGGTTGCACGAATCCAGGAGTCATTCACAAACGACGTGGGTCAGCTGCTCACCCAGTTGGGAAAGGAATAAAAGCAACAGTATTGAATAGTTGATATTGTTCATTCAGTGTTATCATCGTTTTACAATCGTTTTCAGTTGGCTTTTCTTCATTCTCTTTATCTTCGCTACATTCTTGATCTGAGGTGGAAAACAGTAGGACCATGACAATCCAATGTCTTACCGGGATGACAACCTCTGATCGTTTCTCATTTTCCAGTTTTCTTTGTCTTTTCTCTTCCTCTTTGAGGCGTTTGTTGCGTTTTCGAGTTGCTCTTTCTTCTTTCATTTTGTTTCCGACTGCTCGGACACGTTTCTTCTCTTCTGTATCGGCCATGCGTTTTGAGAAAGATGTTCGGATGCCTTTGCCTTTCTTGATCGCGCTATGTCTTGGGTGAGAAAAGTGGATGAAGGAATATGGACGGTCACTAGTGGGCTTGACCTTTATAAATGGTAAAGTGCGTCTGGGTAAAAAAATACCAGTCATACAGGGGTATGAAAAACACTTGCATGTGGACTTTTCGGCCAACCATTGACCAAATAGCTGGCTCAAAACTACCAACATAAACTGAGTGTTATGCGGCTTAGGGAACAACGGTAAGCAACGCTTGATACGATTAGCAAAACAGATGCTTGAAACAGCCAGAGTAAAATGTGGCGAAATTCACTTGCATCATTTCCGACTAGCTGTTTTCCAGACATAGCTGATTGATATACATAAGGACAGAACGGCTGTACAAGCCACCACCGCACTGAATTCCTCATGCACAAACCACAACTCCTAATCGGAGCTAGGTGGCCCAGAGCTCGAATTTATTGATCGGAAAGTCCATGGTTCGAACCCGACATCTGGCTCTCGACTTCCCCTGTCTAGGCTTGGGCAACTTGGCAGTATCCCGCCCTCGTGCAACCTTCGGGTGGCATGGCAGTTAGGCGCCGAAGGGGTGCTACAGCTGAATGATTACTAGAACTCCTAACCGAATGGCGGCTGCAGCCATTGCCTCCGATGATAGAATGACGTTCGAGTGAGTGGTACACAAGAAATGGATAGTTAACAGTAATGAGCCATTGGTACAAGATAAACGAATCAAAAGTAAATTTTCATAAAATTGGCAATAATACCTTTCAATCCTAACGGTCTTCCAGACGCGTCCGGATTTGCATTTACCACGCATTTCTGTGGTAGGGGGTACTAAAAAGAGAGCGAAAGTAATGGCCAAGCTGAATAGTTTATTCACAGTTCTTCATCACACCAGAGCTGAACGCGCCGATGGAATAGCAACGAAAAAGTTTCATTCATCACATTCAAATGTAATGATCGCCGGTCCTAGCAACTGGATTGACATCCGTCTTAAATAGCCCTTTGCAGCGACTTTTAATTGAATCACTTCTTATAGCTGAAAAGTAAGATTCAAGCCCTTAAACAAGTTGCTCTCCATTTTGCAAAACTGAATGTAAGAAGAAAGAATCCATGAGGTGAGTCCAATAATGGAATTGACCGCCACGTCACTTCCGACGGCACACTACTGCTGACGTACTGAAGGCTTGGGATGGACAAGCCATGGTCGATAATGCTAGGCAGTCGAGAAGCGTATTTACTTGACTGCATGCCCGCTGATAATGGTCGACGTGTGGCCCCTTGGTTAAAGTGCAGAAGAATCTCGATAGTTACCGTATTGTTCCAATAAACTGTAGATCTGAATCCACCAATGATGATTTTGACGATAACCTACGCTTGGACGGGCTGACGGCTCACCAACGCCTGCGTCTCCTATACAATACACAACCATGAGGCCTACAACTAACAACACAATACTGCCATCTCACATCGACCGTCGCGTGGTCATCAGCCGAATCGTCTTACTTGCTATATAATGCATAGCGGGTAAACAAAAACGGAGCTCAGAACCTTGATCAGTTTGTGCAACAGCTCTGGGTTTGTTGCCTTGCTATATAATGCATAGCGGGTAAACAAAAACGGAGCTCAGAACCTTGATCAGTTTGTGCAACAGCTCTGCGGTTTGTTGCCAGATTGCTGCTTTACGGCTGCCAGTGAAGTCACAGCGATGAAGCGTTACGAGGCGCATTTATTAGTGGACCTTATTCGAATACTATACGCCAGAGATCGTTGGAACATAAGTCGCTAGTTGTTAAAACCGCCTACGACCATGCAAAATCCTCCGAACTGGCGCGAAAACAGTCGCTGTCGTTTTTGCCGAACAATCGACTCCCCTGAGCTGCCGTATCCGACGACCCGCCAAAGTCGTCACGTTCTCATGCATCATCGCATGAACAGACGACTGATGCTAGTACGGGGTCTTCATGTCTCCCCTGTGGCTATGCTCGTCACCAGCGTGATAAATGCCCCGCTAAGATGTGACCTGCAAAGACCGTGGAAAGAGGGCGTTTTCAAAAGGTATGCAGATCTACTACAGGTCCGAGGAACACCTCATCTATTTCAAGTGCACTATCTTGCGTGACTGCAGCGGCTTGCGAGTGTCTTAAAGAAGCAGCCACCGATGTGAAAGCCAATTGTGTCCCACTTCGAGCTCTTGTTGATTCTTCGTCGTCACATGGCGGCACGCGAAGTCTTGACTCGTGAGAATCAAGCGGGATTTCGACCGGGTAGAGGCTGCGTTGACCACATCTTCACAATCCGTCAGGTGTTAGAGCAACGCCACATGTACAGACGACCCACAATCCTGGTATTCCTTGACTTCAAGGATGCGTTCGATTCTGTTGATCGATCAGTTCTTTTAACTACACTTGCTCAACAGGGTATGCCCCAAAAGTTTGTAAACATAATCCAATC